AAAGAGCAAGAGCGTTAAACTCCATGCTGGATGGAGGCACGGACGAACAGAGGGACAGAGGAGCAGACCGACCAACTGACGGCTTGTTGTGTCGCTTATGGCACTTAATTGACGCCAATCGCATTGACTTGCACTCTCTACCTTGTCCCCTTCCTGATGGCAAGAAAAATCACAGCTCGTTAGTGTTGTGAACATACATTTCAGGATACAGATGGATGGCTGGATGGATGGTTCGATGGGGGACAAGGCCCAGGTACGGCGAAACTTCCATTGATGCCAAATTGCCAGGTATTCAGTTAGCAGATTATTGAAAGCCTATGCCAGAACCTGCTTCATGGCACAATAAGAGAAAAGTGTACACTTTTTAAAGGGATTTCAACAAACTCCCCTCGACATATACCATTCATCAGTTATACCAGGAGTTTTCGCAGTCTAAGCCATGCAAAATGGGTCCGATGTTGCTTCGGAAACCGCATTCGTTTATCCACCAAACCAACAACAAGCCAAAAGGAGCTACAGAGACAGACAACTACAAACATGACAGCCAACACAAGAACAACTCCGTCTTTACATACATTTCCAAACCTCTTCCATTTAAAATCACGTTCTTCTCGCTGCACTGAACGAAAATTCTCATAACAAAAAGGTCATTTCGGTGTTCGCCAAGCTGGGGATAGCCAGATATAGATTCTCTCCAATCGAAGACGGGCTTTTTTGTCCAATCACACTTAAGACATGATTTCTTCTTTGGTTAGAGAAGATTTTCTGTAATTCATTGGTACATATTTTTTGGCAGTGATGGTTTGCTAATGATTATTTGACGCCATTTTTGATTGACGTGCATCGGCTGCTGGTGCTCTCTGCCTCTCTTATTGTGTAAATTGTATTATGCTACACACATACACCCCTCTTTCCATGACGCTTGGTTCGGTTAATGGGCCGCTCAGGACCGCAAGAACCACAAGGCACTTATCAATTTTTGCGCCTTAACAAAATGGCACTCAAGCGTGTAGTCGTGTACGCACTTCCGTTGATATCAGAGACATATGTATTGGGTATGCTTGTGTGTGTGTGTGTGTGGGTGTGGGTGAGTGCGTGTATTAATATTCCGTTAAATTGACATTTACATGATGAAGACGATGATGACGCCGATGCTGATGACGTGTGTGTTCGGCTGCTCTAAATGCTTGTCTGACTTTTCCCCCTGGAAAATTATTCAAGATCTATGTAATTTATCTTCATCAGAGCATTGAATACTTGAGAAAATCAAAGACAAAAACTCTGCTCAAGTGCTTAATGTAGTTTTGATTGGGAGGCAAAATATTGCACAAATAGATTTCCTAATTATCGGGCATTTCTCTGTTCGTTTTTGTGAATATTTTGCTGACCACAAATCCTGAAAAACAATGACAACAAGCCAGTAAGCCTTTCATTGGCATCCGAAAAATGTATCTCGCATCAGTTTTGACTGTCACCACTGTCCGAAATTTTATTTTAAATCCTAAATATTGATCTTCGAGAATAACCATTTGGGGATTGATTTTCATTCATCCCTCAATAATCCGTTCCTACAACAGAATAGTTTAAGTGGGGTGCACTTTTTTGTTCTGTCTGAGACAGACTTGTGCTCGTAATGCCCCCAGCAATTTGCTTACATTCAACTCAGCCATGTCCAAAACGGCCTACACTTGCTTTCCACTACAACAAGCTCTCTTTCGTGTCCATATCCGAGGCGTGTGTGTGTGTGTGTATGTGTGTGTGTGTGTGTGTGTGTGCGTGTGCCTCATGTTGTTGGATAAACTATGTAGAGTCCTTGAAAAACATGCAGGCCATAGAGGCGGAATGCCAGCGGCTGCAGAAACAACAACGAGCGCAACAAATAACTGAAATAAAAAGGAAAAGTTAACAGTTGACATAGTTTAGAGTTGCCTGGTCAGACGGGTAGGACGGTGGTTTGGGTTTTCGTGGGGCAGAGTGGGAGTGGCAGGTGCAGGGGCAGGGGCAGGGAGAAAGCACTCGGCTTGGGTTCAACAGCCACAAGCGTAAGCCGTTGAATGCGACATGGAATGAATGTCTTAATCAGAGTGTGGTGCTTTCTCGCTCATCCTTTCCGTGGGATCCGTGGGCGTTGGGCGTTGCACTGGGTAAAAGGGAAATTGGTGCCAAACTAAATGAATTTAATTGCCGCAGGATATGAAAGTAATTATTTTGCAGTGCATAGACACAACACAGCCAGTGGAGAGTTGCAGAGTGGAGTGGTAGGGTGCGGGGGGCTGGCAGTGTGGCAGAGAGGCTCAGGCTAAAAACGCAATGAGGCCAAAGGCGAACCTACTTCTGTCCCATTCGCATGTGTGTTTTGGCATCGATGCACTTGCACTTAACAGCAAAGGGGCGTACCAAACGCCCACGTTCATGCCCCATATGCACCACTGTACCACTGCAAATTGCCCCGCGGTTATTTCGAGTTGTTCTTTAATTTATTCTCTTTTATGCCTGCGCGTTCGTTGTCCTTGCCACTGCATGTGTGTTAGTGTGCTAGTGTGCTAGTGTGTCTCTGTATCAGTATCTACATCCACAGTGTGGAGAGCAGCACCAGCACAAGCACCGAAGAGGCAGGCTCTACAAAAGGCAGCGATGTGTTACAGTTCCAATTGTCGTTGTCTCTCAATACTTCCAGTTGTGTGTGAATGTGTGTGTATGCTTCCTCTCCTCCCCATGTGTGCGTGCGTGGGAGGTGGAAGTGTAATGCTGCTTGTTTACAAGCCGTGTTTGGGCCGTGTTCTCTGATGCCTAGATCAACGTTTCTTTCTGCTCATTGTTGCATTGTTAGTGGCAGGACCTTGTAACACTTTCGATCAAACCCTCGCATACTCACGCAAAACAGCCTATGGGCACACACACTTGCTAGCAAAATGCGAGCGATTCTGCCATTCAATTTCAAGTACAATTATAATGGCTGTTGCTTCTGTTTCAGTTGGATTAAATGGCGCTCTCTAGTAGGTACACATGTTAGAAAATATTACAGAAGTCATATGTACGGAACAGATAGCTGATGATATCAATCATCTCTTGAATCAGATCTTGGAGGGCACCTATAATACGCATTTTTTCCAACACTTTCAATAATTTGCGAAAATATATAGTTTATCCAGCAAGCAGACAATTGTCATTTTTAAATGGACAACGAAATGACTTATCTGCTCATGATGGTATCATCAAAAATTTAAGCCATGTCAAGCAGCATTAGAAACAGCAGAAACGAAAAATGAAAAATTTGTATTTTTTGGTTATTTAAGTACCAGAAGAAATGGGATGTCTATATCCTAAATCAAAGAATCAATGAAATCGTGAGAAATCTGTGCGCACCGAAGTGTTCCCAATAAAATATTTTTCCTTCTCTATTATAACGATATTCAGATATTTTATTTGAATGTTTGGCTTATGGTATCGTCTCGCTACTGTTCCTGGTCAAACTGTGGCGTCCGCACATAGACGGGAGCCGGGTGGGTCAGGCCGTAGTTACGGACTACCTTAGGGTAGTTGGAGGCGTATTCCTGCTGCGGGTAGCTGGCTGGCTGGTACGCAGAGGAGCCCTCTTGGCTGGCCCGAGAGCGCTTGCGATAGCTGTGCGTAAATGCCCTGGGATGATAGTAGTAGCCGTTGTAGGCATCGATCAGGCGGCTCACGTCCTCTGGCGCTTCGATCGAACGATCGAACGAACGATGCTTGTGGTTTGGTGGTGGTGGGGGTGGTGGAAAGGGGTAAGGGGGATAGTATCCGGGCGAGGGGTATCCATAAGGTGGGGGATAATATGGGTATCCCCCAGGGTACGGCGGTGGTGTGTGTGGCCTTCCAGAACCGCCAGTGCTTGGCTTCCGAGTGGTGTCGGTGCCGTTCACAATTATAATGCAATTGACACTGGTTACATCCTCATCTTCGCTGTCACTACTACTGTCACTGCCGTGCCCACTTCCGTGCCCACTACCTTGTCCACTTCCGTGCCCACTTCCGTGACCACTTCCGTGTCCACTTCCGTGCCCACTTCCGTGCCCACTTCCTCCACTGGAGCCGCCCGAAGATGAGCCAGAATCACTGTTCGGTTCGTACGCCACACTGATCGAGCGACTGTTTTCTTCATCGTCGTACGCGTTATTGGTGGAGATGACGCACAGGGGACGGCCTTTGTTGGTGGTCACCTCCTTGGATCCGGAGCTGAAGAACGCCGGAATGATATTGCCAACCGTAAAGCCGCCCTTGACGCCAGCAGCCAAACCCTTGATGCCAGCAATCGAGCTGCTGAGCAGCCGGCCCTCGGGGACCACCTCCTTGCCCTGGGTAAGGCGGAGCAACTCGTTGTACTCGGAGCGCGTCACCTGATGGAGGCGCACCAGCTGTGGACGACTCCTACCTGCCAACAGAAATTTTCGTTCAAGGAAACCTGTACTTTAAGTCAAAAGCCCTCTTTCTAGGGATACTCACCAGCCTGTGCTGCTGCGAGGCAGAGCACGACCACTGCCAGAACCGGAAAGATCTTCATTGCGATCTCGAATAAGCTGGCCTAGCTCTGCTCCCTCGCTTATATATTTTAAAAGTTGATGGCTTTCATTATGCCATTGTCATTCAAATCACACGTGCATCAGAACTGAGGCTCATCTACAGTTAAGGCAACGCCCTAATCGATTGCGGATCTGCATAATTTATGCGTTGACCCAATTCTCCCAGAACATGGCCATAACCATACTCGTTTTGTTTATTGCCTCTTGGAGCATTTGAACAAAACATGAATCGTTTCACTCATCAGGTTGATGGTACGATAATGTTCTTGTTTATAACTTTCCCAACCCAGTTATAGTTATAGTCGATTGTTCAATTAGTGAAAAAACCAATCTGTTGCTGGGAGATTCTTTCAGTAGGTTTCAATCCCAGCAGTCCCAGAACAATTATCAAAACCAATTGAATAACTTTTCCGTTTAAATGTAAACAATTTTATTTAAAAATAGTTAATTAACATACATTTTCTTATAATAGATCATAGACTTTTTATCATAGCCGTATTCGTTGTCATCTTCCACTTCATAGGAGTCCTCGTCTTCGTCCTGATCATCCTCGGCCTCCGCTTTCTCCACCTCATTTATGGCTTGGGGCTGCTCGAAGTAGGAGTAGGGAGCATAGGGATTGGGCGAGGGCTGTCCATAGTACGGCTGAGGGTAGTAAGGACTTCCGATCGGTGACTGCCCACCGAATGGTTGTTGTAGACCAAAGGGTTGCTGCGGGCCAAAGGGTAGCTGTGGGGGATAAGGAGACTGCGCATAGGGAGCATATGTCTGCGGACCATAAGACTGAGGGCTGTAGGGGCTGTATGGGTAACCACCATAAGGTGAATAGGCTCCGTATTGCGGTGGTGGTGGTAATGGATAACCAGCCCCATATTGGCGGGGCACTTCGGATTGATCTTCGGACCTGTCAGGCGTGTATTCACTGCTAATTTTCTGTTTCTTCGACGTGGACCTGGATTTCGGGGGTGCTTCGGTAGTTATATCCAACTCCATTTGTTCCTCCACTTTCTCAATGTGCTCCACTGGAAGAGCAACCGCCGATTGTGGCTCTGTCTCTGACCAATTCTGGTGGGGATCTTGAGTCGGCAGCTCAAAGTCAGTTTCCTTCTTGAGCACTACAATGCAGTCGATAGCCGACTCCTCCTCTTCCTCGGCATCGGTGGCTGAAATGGCCTTGCCAGAGCTGCGGGCCTCCTCTCTGGGAGCGTCCTCCCTCGTTCTGATCACGCACAGGGGCTGGCCATCGAAACCGACCCTGGACGCCTCGTCGGCCTTGCTCAGCGTGGTGAGCCCCACGATACGGAGCAGAGAGTTCCAGCCGGAGCTGAGGCTGTCACTGACCGTGGCAAAGCCTCCGTTGATTAGTCTCCCCTCGGAAATGACATTATTTCCTTGGGTCAGCTGGAGAACTCTTTTATACTGCTCCTCGTTGATGCTGTAGACACGAACCAACTTCTCCGGCTGGCTTCTCTTACTTTCTTCGTTCCGCGGAGATGGGGCTGTAAAATGAGAGGTTTATCCACCTGGCAGAATTTTCAGAGGAGAGCACACACCTGCCTCTAGACTGGCGAAAAGACCCAGCAACAGCAGCAGTGTTAAGCTTCGATCCATTGAAAGCTGCAACATGTTCTAAGATCTGGACCTAAGACGGACTAAAATGTGGTCACTCGTCTCTGGGTTTATTTATACATATGGCAAGAACGGTAAAAAAATGTCTCCCCTAATTTGGACTGGGCAAAAATTGCAATTAAATAAATTTTTGACAGACAGACATCAGCATCTTCAGAATCATGGAAACTGGCAACTGCTAGCCATCGCATTGATTTGAATAATTTAGTCAAATTTAAGACAAATTTAAACAAATTCGAGTCAATGAACGCGTTATTTCCCAATCTACGAGTAAGTAGATGAACCGGTTCGGTTATCTCGCTGTGAAACACTGAATGATTAAAGCCGTGTCATTAAAAACCCCATTAGGACAGGCAGACCCAGAAAAAGACAAGCTCTAAAATTTATTAAATTTTCTAAATCATAATTTTATTTCATCATTTCATTTCGTCTTTGTGTGGCTGTGTTAAACATTCCTATATGTAGATGAATGTGTAGATACACACACAAACACACATATACGGTATTTAAGGGTATATAGAGTACCTGGTTTATATGTAGATGAAGATATACTTATAGTTGCAATACATGTCGTATTTTGTCGCTATGGTTTCGTTATTGTTTGCACTCAGGGACAGACCTTAGCCTAAACATCTATGGGGACGCACCCTTGGGAGTGGCGTCCGTGTCTTTGGATAAGTTCCATGCCAGTTTTGATAATGCAAAATCCATTCATTCTATATACAATATGTTGTAACCGTATTTAATTTAGCTAACTCTGTCATCTCTTATATGAACTCTTTGATTCGTTTGTTCTCTGGATTCTCTGGTTATCTCTGGAGAATTAAGTTATGTGTGTGGTTTTTGACATTTTGGATTCTCTGATGTGCCGCTTACAGACTATTCGAGTCGTACTTGTATCTTTGTGGCTAAGAGTTAATTAAAATTACAGTTTTTGTCTAATAATCAATTTATTTACACTGCCCCTGACCGGACCATTCCCTTCGTTATCGTATTCGTATCAATTAACAATCGATAAGCACAATTATCCATTGCATTTATGTATCCTATATTATATTTATTTTTTAATGTTTCCAAAACTAATTATATACAATTAAACGAGTCTCTCCGACAATTGGGTCCATGATAAACAAGGCTTTGTTCATAATGTTGGAGTGCTGAACGAGTGGAATGAATGAAATGTTTCTCCACTCCACTAGCTTATCGGCTTACCGGCTATACATACTTACAATACATGCTCGTACTTATCCAGAGCTAATACCTAAAACTGATAAATGTGCAAAGCAACCGGGAGCGTTATTTGAAAACGAAATAATCGGATGAGTGCTGCTTTGAAGTACTCTTGAGTAACTACTCTGTTGAATGGCAATTATTTACAGCAGATTTCAATCGAATAGCTTCGTACAGTGTGGTCTACAGAGTTTTGTGTACGCGTCCAGTGTGGGTTTATTGGCAGTTCGATGTTCCATAGAAGGCGGGGAGGTTCAACGGAAGAGCTCCGCGGAGGGGTTGTGGTTGGGGTTCGGGTTCGTGTTCGAAGCATATTTATAGCTAGTAAGTCTTATTTCGTAATGAGAGTGTGTGTTGGAAAACTTAGCTATGGGTGTGCCAACGATGATCTGTTGGCAGTGATCGGTAGTGGGTAATCGATGATCTATAGTCGATAATTGTTGTCGATTTTCAAGTGCAAACGGTTACCCGCTGTGTGATACCGATTCTCTCAACATCGTCCGTCCGATATCAATTCACTACAATCAATGTAAGAACAAATCACATTTAGATGCTCGGAAATTATTTTTGAAAGAATTAACAGGCATCGATAATTGTATATCGGTAGCTGATTAACGGTACTCACAAAAAGACAAAAATAATCGGTTTTCAGAAATTTTAAATAGATTTTCCTCTAGTTAATGATGTGACATTTATATCGATACTTATTACTGTCAATCGGTATTGATTCTATAGTCGACTATGAATTATCGATCGTTGCTATCGATCACTGGCCAGTAAAATCATAACGAATCGCACAAAACTTTAATTTGTATTACATCGTCTCTTGTTTATTCTCTATAAACATTGAACTAGATTCTGATAATCCACGAAAAATGGTTAGGTTTTTCCAGTGCCAGATGAAGGGCTCAGGGTTTCCCAGCCTCTGGCTTCATTTCCCTCCCTTCCCTTGTCTTTCCATTCGCATGTTGCTATAACGTCGCATATCGGATAATACGTTTTCTTTTTAAACTACGTGCACTCATCATCTTAGACATTAATAAATACTTTTTCATGAGACAACGCAGACCTTACCGCGCCCGAAACAGAAATTAAATCACCTTGAATGTGGGCGTGGTGTTTGTATGTGTGTTTGCCTTTTTAGTGTTCTGCTGATTCCTGTTTTGCCTCACCGGCGTGTTGATTATTCCTTCATCTCATGCACTGAGCCGCCGCCGGGCGTGCTCGCAACATGTTGCTAGTTGGAGCAGCTGCCACTGCTGCCGTTGTCGATACTGCTGTTCTCGTGACTCCAGTTCCTCTTGTTTGCAACGTTGCATGCCGGGGGAAATTGAACACCGAACCCGTACTTGCCATCGCCGTTGTTGAGACATATCCACTCCCGGACTCGTACCAATGCTGCAGGCAGCAGGAAACAATGCTAAGCAGCATACAGCAGATGCCGCAATAAAAGCTGTTGCTGTTGCTGCTCGAGTTATGTTGCATAGCCGCCGGGTGTTCGCCTGCGCGAAAAACAAACAAAGAAAATTACACATGGGAACAGTTGAAAGGGAAAGCCTTTTTAGTTCATCGATTAATTGGTAATTCAATAAGCCAGACACAAAGAAGATTCCGCTTCCGGCCCGCTGATTACCACTGACAGAGCCACACACACATACACACACGATCTGCCCTTCTCTTAATATGTATGTATTTCTTTATCCTCCGAAAGAAGCCAAGGACTTCAGTTTGCATGCATGGAGTTCCTGTTTGCCCCAAAGAACAACATGGGGCTGCCCAAGTTGTTACAGTTTTCGATGAGCTCTTGAGCACACAAGTTGCTCCAATAAATCTGTCAGACCCCCACCCTCCCTCTTGCGCCATCATCGTCATCCCGCTCTGAGAGCATCACATGCTATTGGCCCCAGCACTTGCTACAAACTTTTCCGATGGCTAAAGCTGCAGCTAGAAATAATTTCCGTGCTGCTGCACAAATACAAACAGGCGGAAGAATCAGAAAGAATAATATGCATCAAGATGGCTCCAGAGCACCGATCCCTCTACATAACATACCCTTTCAAATGCTGTAGCATATATACATTCCCAGTATTCGCTTCGACATAATCTTCCGATTTGTATAAAATTCATGAAAATAGTTATATTTCAATAAACGATCTGCTCTTAGACTCTGACTCTGAAATGTACCGCTCTCCGGAGTGTAACTAGAAATTTTCTTGCTGACTTTGCTGCAATGCAATTACTGTAATGCTCCGACCCGTCTCATCCTGCAATTGGCATTACAAATAGCGAATGTTCCGGCATTGCCGCTAACAGGCAACTTCCACTTCCCATCATAAACATGCAAAACTCTCTGACAGCACAGGCACACAGATGCATATATGGTTAGGTGATTAGGGGGATGGGGGCTGTACCGCCCTTACTCTTACCAATAATTACGTGCACATAGACGCTCGAGGTTTTCGCCACCGTGGGTACACAGGTGTAGTTGCCAGTATCGCCGGGCATGGCGTGCTTGATTTTTAATCTGCTTCGCGGAGAGAAACGGAGAAGGGAAAAGAGAAACGGAGAAAGGAAAACGAAAACGAGAAGAGAAACATAGAGAAAATGAATGTCAGCGGGGGAATGCAGGTGGAATAAACGTTAAAGGGCTTGAAAAAAATACAAAAACTTTTGCTACTTTATGCGATGGCATAATGTGTGTCGAGCTGCTACCTCCACGACTGGCTCTAATTCCGAGTAACCTTACCATAAGCCCTTTTTTCCAGGCCCTCTCAGTTTCTCTTTCTATGTTTCGTTAAAACTCCTTCCATCTCTGTCATCTGCACCTGCATTTTATGGACGTCTGGGCCGTTAGTTAACAGCATAAATGGGCAATGATCTGGGGGCCTGCAGTGAGAGCCGAGGAACCATCAACTGCACCCCCGACTTTTGCATTTACTCGTCCTCCTTCTGTGACTCCAATTCTGGCTCCATCTCTGGCTACTGCTCTGACTTTCATTAAAGAAAATTAAAAGTCACACACGGCTAACTCAAGCATCCTCCGGTGAGGATGGGATGGAAGCCAAAAAGCCGCTCTACGATAATACCCTCCCAAGTGTAACCCAGCGAAACTCACAGTAAAAGAAAAACTACGTCCTGGGTATCCATTAAAGGGATACATTTTTCTGTTAAACGTGTTTCAAAAATAGCTTATGTTTGGGGTCCAAGGTGGTCAGTAAATACCTCTATGCAAGGTATTAAATTGCGATTAGGAGTGCGTTGTAATGTAACTTCTGCAGATGCTACAACATCTGCATGTTCGGAGATATGCTAACCAATCGAACCACAAATCTTTTGGGTCTTCAGTATCATCATTTCATCTGAAACTTTCATGGAGTTCTCCTCGGGGTCTGGCTTGAAAGTAAGCTGAAGTAGCACCCTCTTTATAGACCCTGCTGACAGGCCCAGGCCCAGCACAGGTTACCTCTTGAAAACCCTGTTTGCACAGCAATAGGAGGACAGTCAGACAGTCCTCCAGCCTACACTTGTCCTTCGCTTTGGCCTTAAAATGTCATTCAAAGTCGGAGTCCGTGTCTCTTCCTGTGTCAAGAGGAGAGAACACGGCCATGTTGGCTTTAAATTCCCGCTTCGACTGTCTGGATAGCTGGTTTTGGTTTCTGGTTGGTTCTGGCCGTAATTAAGTGAAGCGGCATTTTAATTCAACATAACTGAAATGCTCGGCACACATTTGCACGTTTGTATGTAATGATGGGAGAGTCGTTACATACCTCGAAGTCAGGCCGTCCGACCAATCATCCTCGACGCGGATGCGGGCCATGGAGCTGTCAATTTCATTCTCGCCTTTGCCATCGAGCATTTCGCTGCCTGGAATGCAGAGGAAGAGAAAGAGAGAGAGTTGAAAAGCAAATTGAATTGTGCGAATGAGGTGCGGATGCCACATTATGCTGCGACAGAGGTTCATTACGCATACGCACCTTTGTACCAGAATATGTTGCCCAGCTCGTGGGGTCCCTGCATAATTTTACAGGTTAGGTTAATGTCGCTGCCTGTCTTCACCATCAGATCTCTGGGCCCAAAGATTTCCGCCTTGAGTTCTGCAAAAAAAAAAGCCAAACAAAAAGCGAAAGAGAACAAAAAGTCACTTAAGTTGCCAACAGACAAAGGCAGGTTCCGTCTCGTAACAATGATAATAATAATAATGTTAATGATAACGTCCAAGTGCGCGTTTTTCTGAGTGTGAGTGTGTGTGTGGGTGTGAGGTAAGGGAGAAGGTTGGGGATGGGCCCTACTTTATTACACAGAAGCGTGTCTCTATTATGCTGGCGATAAGCTTTTGTTATGCCATATAAAAGACAGTCATACGCCCCGTGGTACTACCTGCACTTCGCTTCTTTTCTTCCTTTGCTATCTCTGTGGAATCATCTAAGAGAAAGTGCTGTGAATTTTGTTTTCTGCTTTCTATTCCATTTGAAGCCAAAATCAAAATGTCAACATTGAAGTGCCTTTTGTTGTTCCCAGCGTCAATGATTTCAATTGGGAAAAATCCTCGTGGACGGCTTTGAAATGCGATTTTTTCCTTAAAGCTTATGATTGCTGACAGTTGCCTTAATGGAAAACGTCTCTGCCATCGACTTCCCTCATTTCATCGTATTCCCCCACACAGCCCTCCCTCTACGTCTAATGCAAGTGCTAAATATCAGCGAGGAGCAAACGGGAATGGAGAACAAACAGCAACTCTTCCATTGCTGTTCCACTTTCACTCTTGTCTCGTAAACTGGCAAGAGGAAAAACTTTCGCAGGTCCTAAACAACCGCAAAGCCTGTGGAAATAAATTGCAGCACCAGGGGGATAGGCGGGGGATCAGAGAGAGAGAGCAGGGGAGCTGGTATTGCAACTGGAACATCTGTACATAGGACTCCTGCGGCATACACACATGCACGCACGCATTGATGTGGCTAAGCTTTGCTGTGGGGGCTGCCGCTGCCTGCTATTCAATCGCGTGGCAGAACTGAGCAAAAAAAACGAATTTTGAAAGCTTGAAAAAATCTTTTTGCGAAATACCACATACATAAATATGTTGCAAAATTGTTTCATACTTTGCATGAACTCAAAAGGAGCGCTTCTCATAGAGCCCAGGGTATTATTGCCAGGGGGGTATATAGGCTTCGCATTAACAATTGATTCAATATATCTAAAGTAGTGTCATTAACTAACTAGATCAAGAAGTACTTTTATTCATTTAAGAAGTGCGCTTTCCTCCATTTTCAACTCAACAAAAGATATAATAAAATCAAATTAGCAGGTATCCCTAGTAGGAGAACACATTACATTTTTAGTGAACTTTCGCCTTTAAATCAGGTGTTGTGTGCGTGCGTGTGTGTGAATGATGGAGTGTGAGTGGGAAGGGTAGATCAGACTGGGTCCCAAAAATGTTAATCTAAATGAAATGCCAAGTGGAAAAAGTACTACACATCCTCGAAACAAAGAAGGGCGAACAAAGGCATAACAAAATGAAGGGGAGAACGAGAACAAACCCCAAATGGAATTCGAACACGCTGGACGATTATCTGGCTGTTTTATAGACCCGCACAGAACTCGCTTCGCTCCACTCTAGAGAAAAGCGCTGAGTATGGCACACTGTTGTTGTTTTTGTTGTTGTTGTTTCCCCAACCCCGTGGCAGCTGCTGGTTCTGATGGTTGTTGTACCTGGCAAAACAATTGTGGCAGCGAAAGCTAACCGTCTATGACTTCTGGCAACCCCAACAAAAGGCAGACAGGAATGGCTGGGAAAATTATTGCCGCACACATGCAGCTGACAACGCGCTTGTGGTTCCCACGAGAAGCACGGGTGCTGTGGCAGGGTGTGGGTGTGGTTGGGTCAGGTGTGAATATATGTGGATGCCCGCATGCGGCAGGAATGGCTCCATCTCTCGACTCTGGCTCTGGCTAAGACTCCTCCTGCTGCCTAATGCCCTACCTGCTGACAGGGAACATAAATGCGAGCAGTTTGCTGCATGGCCACGGCGTGCAGTGGCGTGGATCTCCCCAAAGGAAATTGCTTATTTAACTATAATTAGATTAAGTGTTCCCGGCATTTGGTGAGCTGCATTATGAATGAGGAGCTGCATTATGGCCAGCCGATTCTAGGCCCACGATTCTGGCCAGACCCACAGCTGTTTGAAGTTTTCATTAGACACGGCCACAGTTGACCCCACAGTTGCCAAAAAAAATTGCAAAGTCTACTGCTGGCTGCATGCCAAAGTCGGAACGACTGTGCATGTATCTGTTCCTGTTCCTGGATCTCAGAGCAAACAAAGTCCTTACTGAGTCTTGTTTACACACGGAGTCAGGACGACGTGGGCTTCGGCCCAGGCTCAGTAGCAGTGAGGCCCTGGAATATTTTTGTGCAGCTGCAGCAGAAAGCGGAAAATAGGAACTTGGAAAGAAGAGCAGATGCAGAAGGCGGAGATGGAGGCGAATGCATTTTCATTTTTCTTGATTTCGCGCATAAAATGCGCATAAGCCTATATGGCCATAAACATTTAGACCAATGAACTTTGCACAAGCCCAGGCCCCGGCATGGCATACTTTTTGGGGCCAGACCGAGACCGAGGAGCGTTGCAGCCTAGCTCCCGGGTATCCTTACTCTCAATGCTGCCTGCTGTAAGGGCTGTAAAAATTTATTACCCTTCAGCAATGTTGATGCATGTTTGTACACATGTAACAACATCTGAGTATTTATTGCCCGAATAACCATTCCGAACTGGGGCGAAAAGGATCTGTAGGCATTAAATTGTTTAAGTCTTTAAATTCTGGAGAACAATTAATTGGAAGCAATTTTTTTGTGGCGCTCCAATTGCTCGGAACTAATTGTCAAATCAAATAAACAAATTCAATTTGTAAAAGTCAGCCGCATTGCCAGCAGCACAATTGATGAAGTATTTGTGTGTCTTCCTCCTCCTTAGATGAATCCACTCCATTCAGTTTGCCTGTCCAGATCCGGCTCAATCCAGTCCCAGTCCCAGTGCCACTTCCATTTCCATTCCCGTTACCACCCATCCCAACAATGGCAAAATGAAAATGCCCAAAACATCATCATCATGGCCCGAGTCCCTTTCCAAGCCTATTTGGTATCCCCCATTGTTGTGATTATTATTATTATTAATAATTCGACGATACTGCAGAGACATTAATCATTTCCTCTTTCTCTCTCCTTCTTTCTCTCTCTCTCTCTCTCTCTCTTTAAGTATCTGCCTCTGCTATTCCGCTGTGCAATATCTCAGTAATTTATCATTGGGGCATTTTTTGGTCTAGGCATTCGACGGAGAATGTAATTTGAGGAGCAAATGAACGAAATGGGAAGTAAAACATTTGATTGCCGGGAAAATTGTTCGGACCTGCTGCTCCAGACAAAGCTCCTGCTGTTGGATTATGCAACACAAGTATTTATAAAAATTCATTATCCCCCTTCGGAGCATTTCAGGCTCCACAAATGGAAGAAGTTTCGTATCCCCTATAGTTGCTCGCCTTATATTACGTACCATTTTGCATGCAGGAACAAATCCTTCAACTGGCAAAGGTGTTTTCAGCTCGGTGCATCATCAAAATTGACAGCATATTCTTAGCAGTTGTTTTTTAGCCGCAAGACACCCCTGAATCCCCTCTCACAGAATATTGAAAAAATTCGTTGTTTTTGGCAATGTCACTTAATGGGTTTCTATATGCCGCAATTATGTGCTTATTCACGGGAGAGACTTGCGATCCCGATAAATTTGAGGTACGGAAAAGGATTTATCTTATGAAATTTACCAGTGATTGGACCTATTCTACTCCCTGATATGCTGTCATGCAGAAAGTATGGAAAATGAAGCAGTGACTACTCCCACCTCTGGCCATAGCTGGGATTATTACGTGCGCTTGATTGCATGCAATTTGCCTGCTGGTAATGTCAACAGCATCGCAGAAGCATTTTAGGACATCTTAGGAACAGGTCGGTTTGGAGGAGGAGTAGCAGCATCAGCAGAGTGTTGCTTTATCAAGTCCAAAATGAGTCATCTACTTTTCATCTCCATCTCGTCAGCCACGTATTCAGATTGCCTTCAATACCCCGCTCTCTCTCTATCTCTCTCTCTCTCTGTCTCTCTCTCTCTGATAGCTGCAGCTTTTCCACTCTGCGTTACCTTTTGCAATTTGTTTTTCACTTTTCCTTCCAGTCTCTCCCCTCTTCCAAGAAGTCTCAACCAAATCCCCCAACCCTTCCCCCCTCCAAATCATCCTTAACTAAGGAAGGTAGCGCTTACGCTTGATTACATTCGCGCTGGTAAACAAATTTTTCTAGAAGCACAACAACACCTTTCTTTTTCTTAATACGAGTTTACTCTTCCAGAGAGTATTACGAATAAGCCAATACCTTGCAGTCGAGCACTTATATTTATCTAAGAAACTTTCAACGATACCGGAAGCTGAGACTCATACGAGGTTGAATTCATATGGTCTTAAACTGTTTTTGTAAACTTTAATCAGTTAGAGTATCAAAAGCTTCGAGTTTCGTTCTACCTTCTCCTTGTTCCTCACTATATTTGTCCTTGTCCTTGTCCTGGTACTGTCACTGTCAGTCTGCCAGCCGCTGTCGCTCAGTTTGAGTGGGACTGGTGCAGGGACACATAATTTAATTTACAATTTGCTCACTTTATCAGCGCGTTTGGTAATTTGCCTTAAATTCGAAATTAAATCGAGGACGAGGGGGTCGTCTCCAGCTACATATCTGGCGGCATATAAACATTCTCTCCTCTGTAGCACCTAGGTGGGGCTACCCCTACCCCGGCATCACACTCTGAGAGTCTCAGAGTCGAGAACATAAAGTTGGTAATTTAAGCAATGGAGCGGGCGGCTGCTCTTGCATTAAAATGTCAAAAATATGGCTGCCAGGACGGAAGAGGAGGCCCAGTACAGAACCGACGGCGGGGGCGTGGGCGGGGGCGTGGGCGGGGGCGATTTATGTTTATGATGCGCTGGTCAGCCTGGCGCTATTTTGTGTATCATTCTTGGAGTCTTGCCCCTGCCCCACTGTCTCTCCACACTGTGTTACCGCACACTCCTCTGACTGACGGGCGTGTAATAGAATTTCAGTGGCGTCGAAAAGAAGCAGCAGAAGAGTGGGAAAAAACACAAATTTATGGAATTTTTAGTGCAATTTTTTATTTGCATAAGCGCATAAAAAATTTCTGGCATAACAACAAACTTGTTTGCAACGCGACAATGGCAGCAGACACCGCACAGTGGAACCACTAGAGTGTCAAATTGCGTACACAAATAAATGCACATTAGTGGAGTTTTTAGTCAGTAAGAAATGAGAGCAGAAAAATCAGTTTCAAAGTGGAAATTTCATCGAATGATCATCGAATATATATAGAGTGAAAAAATCGTATTATTTCCTCATATTCTTTTGATTTTGACTGATTTTGATTGAGGACATATTCAGACATACATTTTTGAATACCTTTTCACCATCGTTTTTCGATTTACCGGAGGTTCTGTACAACTGTTCTGTTCACACTGTTAAACGCTAGTTGACTCCCATTAAATGTATCTTTTGCATGCAATCGACGGAGTTTCACCTAAAATGCCTCCCTATTCGGTTTGTTCGCACACCACTGTGCACCACTGACCTGCTGTTTGCTGTTTCCGCATGAGTGGCATGTCGAATATTTTACTCGTACACTTCTTTTTGGGCATTCAAATGAGTGCGAACGTGGAAGGAAGCTCTGGGAATACACCTACCATGGGTGCACATAGACTTATACACATTCGTATATACTCATATGCACCAGTTTGGCAGTCATTTGCATTTCCGCAAATGTAATATTTATGACTTCTATGTGTCTCTACCCATGAGTGGGTCTGGCTTGATGTTGGGTTTGCCAGTCTGTCAAGGGTCTGCTGTTGGTTTAGTATGCGTGTAAACTTATATGCAAAGCTCTCTTTCGTATTCCTGCCAGCACTAAAAGATTCATAACCGAGTCAGAGCTGACCAAAGCATTTTATTCTGGCCGAAAGTCGCTTGTCCATGTGGCTAAAACAACTTCCATGCATACACACAAGTTCGAGTACTGGGAGAAGGACGTGGGGCGGGGGAAATCAGAGATCAAATAAGCTCATTGAGGGCACTCTTCCGCACCAGAAGCTTTTAGCTAAATACATTTTGCTAATACAAAATTCGATAAAAATGCACCGAAAAAGCCACAAAGGTTGGTTCACAAATGCCGTCAGCTTGGGTCGTCCCAAAGATCTTCTAAAGGCCATGCAATGAATGGGTATCCATCCAGAACTGCTGACGAGGCAAGGGCACAATGTGTGAGAAGGGTCGTCTTTGACCTCAGCCCCAAGTTGAGTGCAAACTAATTACAATACCCAGAGGTAAGTAATGTCCATAAAGAGCTTCCACATAATCTCATATCCCCTTAACAGCAGCAGCAGCGTCTTCAACTGCTCGGCTGCTCGGCAGTCCAATTTGCACATAATCGAATTGAAAATTTTATAATCACGAGCTGGAGAAGACGCCCCAGAAACCAGTTAAAAGCGGGCCACACACGTGCAGAGAGGGGTAACTACTGAGGGGCATATAACATGCATATTGTATGGCTTCCTTAAGCTCCTAAAATCTGCCTGGCAAGCTGGAACTTCCAGAGTACATGTAATAGTGGTCGGGATGAAGCATTCTCTCGTAACACATAAAAGTAATCACTTCAGTGGTTTGTGACCAGTTTTGAGAGAGTTTTCCCCTCGTTACATGCTCTTTCGATTGGGTGTTTGGTAATGTAAAAAGTTCTGATTATAATCAAAGGCTGGCACACATTTCAAGGATAATATTATGCAACAAATGTGTGCCTTAAGGGGATACTTGTGCACTTATTATGCTGCCTTGTGGGGCATCAAGGCGAGGCTAGGAGGCAAAGATATGCTCCAATGCATTTTGGAGGATCACACATCAATAGCGGACTGAGAAGGGCGACCTTCATATGGAAAGCCCTGACTGTGGGCGGGGCGGCTACTCACCCACAACATTGAAGGTGTACGACAAGGACATCTTGGGCTCCGTGTTGATCTGGCACTCGTAGACCCCCGAGTCGCGGGGCTGGGGATACTTTATTTGCAGAGTCCAATTGGCCGAGCCATCAGGTCGCAGGACCTGTACATAGAAAAGAAAACATTTTAATCCAATATTAAGGTACTCGTACTCCCCTATCGGGTAGAACTCACCTGGAAACGCTGATCAGATGTATAGGTTGTGCCGCCGGCGGTGAGTATATGCAGATCACGTTTGCGTATCCAGGAGACCTAGAACGTGAACAGGAACAACAGAACAGAAAATTGCCATGAAGTGCTTTCCTCAGTTACATTGCTTACGCCTCGGCGAAGTTCCGAGTTCGGGGAGCATTACAAATTCCGCACTTAAAAGTTTTTCCCCTCCCATGTGTCTTTTTTTGCGGATTGTGTCTTCCGCTGTTGCTATTCACACCACTTAAAGCAGAGGGACGGCGGTAGACACAGGAACAAAACGAGGACGAGGATGAGGTGGGTAAAATGAAAAACAAAGCGTAAAGTTTTCTTTTCCGCTCATTTTTTCTTGGTGTCTTCTTGCCGCTTGCCGCTTGCCGCCTGCTCCTGGCTCTGGTTAATCTTTAACATTTTGCTTTTTGTTTCTGGCATTTAATCAACAAACAAACAACGCACAGGCACCAAACGAGAGACAAAGGACGGGAAGAACAACCACGAGAAGTTGCCGAGCATAATCCGTGTACATTAGAGCGTGAAAGGACCAGCGCGCGCGTATGCGCCACGTTACCCGGAAATGAAAGACGCTCTCAGAGACCGTCATATAAATTGGCCCTAACAATTGGCTACTGTTTAAGCCAGACGACTAGTTGAAAGGTCACTCGGCTAGTCAGTCGAATGCCAAATGTCGTCCAAGCTGCCTGTCTTAGCGCAATTTTCAATTGTTTCAAATAGCCTTCAATCCTTTTGACCAAAATGGAATCGGAGAAATTGTGGAAATGGGAAAATCGAAAGAAAGGCAAGCAATGAGACAGCTTTGACGCCATTTTCAGCCTTTATTTGGAAGCATTTTTATTATTCCTTGAATTACATTTTCATTTGATTGCCCAGCGCCTTGGCCTTCGCCCTTAGCTGGAAAATCTTTTGGGGAAAGCCATTAACCATGATTTTGTGTGTGTCTCTCCCTGGACTGGGCCAAGATTTCGTTTTGTGGCCCGGCATCGGCATCGAGCCCTGGCACACTTTTGTGTGCCCTTTTCGGCACATTGTTGCCAATTTATTTGATGACCTTAGTTCTTGTCCTCGTTGTTTCCGTTGTTCCCGGCTATTGTGATACTCAATTTTAATTACATTGCAAAAGTTTTGTCCCCAGCCCCGTCTCTGTTCTACCCTCTGTCCCCGCGAACTTTAAATGTTTGCTGGCTGTCAACATTAAAGTTGAAAATATGCTGCCTCATTAATAAACTTAATTGCTCAGCCCCGTGGGCTTGGCTTTTGCCAAAGCCAAAAGTCATCTTAAAAGTAAACCATTCAACTATGTGCCAAATCCGCATTCGGGTTCGGACTCGGGGGCTAGATGCAAAGGATTGGCCCTCTAATAAATTCATTCGATTCGGAATCAGCACCCATTGCAGGCGGGTCACGTAATACGTAAAAATAAAAATCATTCGCTTGTAAAACTTTTATGTGCTGTCGCTTTTATGCCCATAGCCGATGTCCTGGCGTGCCCTGGCCTGTCCAGATGTAAATTAAATCGCTCAAATCCTGGCTATCATTGTTGTGCCACAGATTTACCCATTTCATTTCGTTCCATCGGACAATTGTCGCCGGTACCACACTGCGTATGAGCAATGCCATAAAGTGAGCTCGAAATTAACTGCTAAAAAGGGATGTGGCACACACTAAATAACTATCCGGACGGCAACTCAATAGTTGCAGCAGCCATTTCAGTCGAAATAAAAAAGTACTAGGAAAAGGTCCCATTGATATTCCAGGCCCGTTGCCCTTAAATATTTCATTTTGCCGCTGGAATCTGCAGAAATCAAAAGTGAAAAGTTTTCCAACCCCAGACGAGAGACGGCTAAAGCCCTGCTCAGGTAAAGCCAGATCCCCTGTCAAGCTGGATCCCCAATCTCCGAGTTGCTGAATTCCCGTGAGTGGAGGGAAACTTTGCTTTGGGTATAATTTCCGTAATGTCTTTAGGTTTAAATAAATACCACAAGCATAGTTTTATATTATTTAACACTTTGTGTTCGTTGTGGCTGAGCGCTGTGCGGCCAAAAACTTTCGCTTTGCGTGCCTCCTGCTTCCTGCCTCCTGACTCTGACTCTTACTTTCTTTTTGTTTTTCTGTCATCTAACAGCACTGGAAAATGAAAGAAGTTTCCGCTGTTTGTATGTCTGTGTGATGGTTTGGGCGAGCGTGTGGAAAACTTGGCGAAAATACATTAAAAACTTCGCTGACGCATTTTCTGCGTCTCTAGCCAAAAGACTTTAGACCCAACCCCACTTGACAGAGCCAAAAAATAGTTGCACTTGCAGTTGCTGTTGCAGTTGCAGTTGTTAGTTTGTTACAGCACAGCCAGCCACTGGCTTTGTCCGAGCTTAGGAAATGGTGCGAAAATGAACGGAAAATCGACTCGATTCCCATGCGGTTCGCACGAAAAAGATTCCAATTGGCAAATTACTTCGCATCCACTTAATGAACTCAATACTCGTACAAATTAAATTCTTCCCTTCCGCCAGGGGCGACAGCGACAGTTGCCAGATGAAGACTTCAATGGCAATTTTTTTGGATCAGTTTGTAAAGAGAGTTGTAAACAGATTTTGACTCGTTTTTCCTTTCAGGGCTTTGTGTTGTTTCGATGGGGCATGAAGGTTGTCTTCCGTATACTGGCATTAAAAAGGGTTCACTGCCTTTCCAGAAGGCCTAAAACTTTGTTTAATATACGCTTTTTCTTTGTTGCTTTTCTGCTGTTATTGTTGTTGTTGGTATTACAAGAGTAAATTGCTCGTGCTCATGTTCGCTGATGTAGCGCCATGAAGCGTTTATGAAAATGTTGGCGGCACTCGGTGCGTAATAAATCAACAGTGAATGGACAATCCTGTGAAGTCAAGTTTAACAAGCGGATTCCGGGCGGCTTCCAGCAAGGGCAGCTAAAAAAAAGGCGAAAAATGCAAACCAGCGAGGGCCCATCACGGAGGCGGGAGGTGGAGTGCCAGTTGATATGGTAATATCAGACTACATCCCACACAGCCAAAAGGGTGGTGATCGGGTGTTGGAGGGGGGCCCGGGCTAACGAACTAACGGCACGGGCATAAATTACACTCCGCCTTGGAGCGGAGTGGCGCACAATGGAAGCCAAGCGCCGGCAAAGTTATTTGCCGTAACTGTTACACTTTCAATTTTGAGTTTATGGATGCAGCCCTGTCCTAGAGAACGGAGGATGGGGCAGGACTCAGAACTGGGTGCCAGTGCGGGCAATGGGAAGGCATGTCTTCGGGGGCACTGACAGGGCGCGGTTCCAGTCTGTCAATTACAATTAATGTTTGCGCTTAGCCCGAGGACAAGTTTGTTTTTCAGCCAGCGCATGCATAACTGCCTCCATTAGGGACCGTCCGAAAAAGGGATGCAGGGATGATATACTATATATATATATTGATTCTGGCGGGAATGGGGATCGATATGGAGTAAAAGCCCCTACAGTTGTAGCTGACTTTCGGTAAGTATTTCCTGGAATCAGGAAGCATTCCGTGAGCTACACTTCAAAAGCTGAATTTATCTCATAGCAAAAGCATAGAAACGATAGCTAAAGCATTCTCAATTTTAAACAGACAATGTGTTAAAATTTTTGGTATAATTATTTTTGGACCGAACTACCTAAAGGATTTTCTAAAGAGTAATGGAGTGCGAGAAGATTGGTGAGTGTGAGCGTGGGGCACTGTCTGAGATGAGATACTATTTCAGGTATCCGTTCCCTCTCTCTACAGTAGAGACCACCGTTACTGCTGGTGACCTCAAACAGGACACGACCCTAGAGCAGGAGCTCGAGGGTGCACTGTCCTCGAGCAGCGCCGATGATACGCCGCCGGGCATGATCATTGTGGGGAGCCGCATCAGTGCCAGGCAGGAGCTTATGGAACCAAGCGTTGCGGACAAGGATACAAAAATCGAGGGCGAAAATGAATTCGGAAAAGATTTTCAAAAGGATGTTGAGCTGCCACGGGAGCCGGAAAATGCCTGCTCCATGTCGCTGGGCTTCAAGCCACGTGTCCAGTTCCAGCGGGTGCCGCATGAGAGCGTTGGCCGTCTCTTGGCCAGCACCGAGGCTGCCCTGGCAGCCGCCACCAGCTCGGCCTACGCCACACCCATGTCCACGATTGCGGAACCTTTTGCCACATTGCGTCACGTCGTCGACGAGGCCACACAGTGCAACAACCTCGGCAACGAAGTGTCTGCCTCCAGTGAGTCAATGTCCTCGCTGGGCTCGCTCGTCTGTCGTATTTGTCATAACGGCGATAATCCCGAACAGTGAGTAGCCCTTGGTTATAAAGGCCTATCTATTTATTTATCTATCAATGACGTGTGCCAGGACAGAGATAAAGGGGCTCGCCCTGTAGGGCTCTGTCATTTGGGGGATATTTGTTGGTTTTTTTTTTTTTTGTAGGTATACTCCAAATGGGTTAACGGGGGAGTATCTGTCAAAACGATATCTATCGAGTTAATGGGGTACCTTGTATACCCTGCTTCCGCTGTGCATATCCAGGGTAAATCCACTTCCATTTAATTACGTTTGAGCAGCCGCAAATTGTGCAAAAAATTAATTGCATGACATTTAATGCATTTAGCGAACGACCAACGAGCAAATGTGAATTTATTTTAATTATTAAAATTATCACTGCACGTAGCCCTTCCTGCCCCTTGGCTCCTTTATTCGCGATTCCTGCCTCTCTCTTTCTCTGTCTCTCTTTCTCTTGGCAGGCGCTTATCTCGCTGGTTCGCCGTCTTTTAATCCCCTGATTTTTCATTGTTGGCGCTGTTTACACAACCCCACACCCACACCCACCCACACTCGTCCGCCCACTTCCTGTTCTTGCCTCTCTACGAGTAAACTGCCGTACACACTGCTGATGTTTTCATTCCGACTTGTTTGCAGACTGGTGTCGCCCTGTTTGTGCAAGGGCTCCCTGACATATGTCCATGTGCAATGCCTGGAGCGCTGGATTAGCACCTCGCACTGCACGTTATGTGAACTCTGCCAGTTCCAGTACAACACGGAGCAGACGCTGCGGTAAGTGAAAGGAGCAGCAGCAGCAGGAGATCAAAGACGCACTCGGCTCACAGCTCCAAAGCGTTTTAATCAGCTGAGCTGCCGCTGAGTTGGCTTTTCCTTTTCCCTCCTGCTAATTGCAAGCCCTGTCTTTGTCAGTGGTTTACTGGGACTCTGATTCCGACTCTGATGCTGTTGATTGTGATTATGCATTCTCCCTCTTGATGTAGGTACTCCTGTCTGCAGTCGCTGCGAATTTGGTATTCGCGGGCCATGAGCCGCCGGGCCCTGCAGGAGGACTGCCAGATGTTCTCGCTGCTCACTTTGGTGGCCTTTGGGATCATCGGCACCCTGCTGGTAGGCATCCAGTACTATGCCATGAACAACCAGTCCTGGGCCATGAGCAAGCTCTGGACAAAGTCCTGGATGCTCTTCTTTCTGTTCATGACGGTGAGAGTGATTCTTGCGGGTACTAATCTTAGCCTCTAATCGGCCCCTGTCTTCCACAGGTTACCGTTTACTTTGCAAATATTTTTATGCTGGTCAAGTCCCAGGTGACGCCTTGGTATCGGTAAGGAAATCCGTAACCCCAAGAGCGACTCCATAAATATCGACCGTATATCCTCCTCTTTCCTCCAGCTGGTGGCAGTCAGCCAGAGACATCAAGCTGATTCTGGAGAACCGGCGACCCTTTCCGAATCCGAGTCGCCTGCGACACCAGGCGATGGACGCCGGCTCGCTCTCCGCCTCCATGATCACCCATCACGATCAGCAAGAGCTGGCGCCGCCCACGGCAGTGACCCCTGTGCCAACAACCTCCAGCGAGGATGGGATTGAGAGCAGTCCCGGCCGTCAGTGGGGCAAGCGTATGGAGAGCGCTATGCTGGCGGCCGCCATTGCAGCCACAGTGGAATCGATTGCCGACGCCAGTGCACGGGAGAGCGAGAGCAAGGCCGTGCAGCAGCCCAGCCAAGAGCATCATCGTCCTGGGCAGCCATCGGAAGGCGCCGGCAACTAAAAGGGCAATGACAAGAGCCAAGGAGATAGACGGACACTGAAAAGGAGCAAGTGGCAAGGCGGTGTATGCGTGTCATTTGTTTAATGTAGTTTCAATGCTTTTAATGAACTTTCCCAACGAGCAGACTTCAATTAAGTCAGGAGCTGATGATGCTGCTGTTCTAGTTCCTCTTCCGGTTTCTGTTCGTGGCTGTAAGGTGCTTGGTACGTGGTGCGTGTTGCGTGGTGCGTGTCGGTGCCTGCACTTTGCCTTTGCCCGGCTTCCTTCGAGCCGCACAACTTCCGCTTCCTGTCTCACCTCTTCCTCCACCAGCCCCCCAAAGCGAGGAAATTAAAGCTGATACCAGCACGAGGCATGAGGCATGAGGCATGAGGTAGAGGCTGCCACAAAATGCCTGATGGCAGAGGCAGTCACGTGATTGATGGCTCATAAATTAGTCATTTTCCTTTAGCCGGGGTGTGTGTGTGTATGTGTGTTCATGGGGGGAAACTCGTTAAGGCCAGGACCACGCCTACGCCTGTGACGGGGCAACACCCACAGGACGTTGCTCAGTTGTCGCCTGTCTTGTTTGGCAATTTTTCTCCCCCCTCGAGTGCAGCCTCCAAATCGCCCAGTAATTTAGTCTAAGCCTCTCTCCTTCCACCTCCGTATCTGCCCCTCTATACCTCTGCCGTCATCTAATAACAGCACGAGTCCTGGTTGCTAATGCACACTGGTTCAAGGGCCGGATGGAGTCAAGGGAACCTCCGTTCGGTGTTTGCATTTTGAATGATTGGACGCACTGTCACCACTTTGGACCACTGTGAGCCGGCGGCTGGGACTGGATGGGATGGCCTGGCCAGGAGTTAAGCCGGGCTAAACAGGGGAAGAGCCGGACGCCCACCTAACCATGTTGACATATTAGGCCCTGGCATCGTTACTGCTCGTTCTGAAGGGTTAACCACCCACAGCGCCCTTCAATCATTTGCCTGTGGACCCCAATGCTTAGGCAATCACGGTCCGAATGATTGAGTGCCTGCAAATCCCAAGCGGAATTTTCATTTAACAGTATCTGGCTCAGTTCCCATATGCTCTTTTTTCTTTTTCTTTCCTTTATTATTGGCTCATGCGCTTGCCGTAGGTCTCCGCGTTTGTCTCTCTATTGAAATGATAAAAAATCTTTGAATTAAAAAGTTAAAAATTGTACTTTGAATTATAATTATTAAACTATAATAATTGGATCTCCGTACTAATCATTGGAACAATAATAAAACAGTCCTTTCGTAGTAAGTCGCGGCAAACCTTCCGCGACACGATACTATTCCTGCACTCCGTATATTTCCTTTCCACCTAAAAACCACTATATGAGCTATTTCCAAACCACATCGTCCGTTTTATCTCACTATCTTTCTATGGAAAAGTTATTGGGAGCAAAAGAGAGATCGAGGCTTGGTATTAAGTAACTGACAATTTTAAAAAATTTAAGATTTCCATCATGGTGAAATTCAGAATATCGGTGAATACACCAGGGAATTTGTCACTCTAAGGCCCCCGCAACATTCAAATATCGATTGTTTTCTCAAAGAACATATTGTGAATTGCTTCTAGGTATCATATGTTCCCTCTGCTTAATTCTAAATCGGGAAAAAATGGGAATTGGTTTTGACTTGATTTGGATATATGTATAAAGATCCATCAAAGTTGTTTTCAATCTTTTTAAAAATATAAAAAAAAATACATGTTTAGAGAGAGCAGCGGGAATCACAAAATCTACATTTTACCGATAGATTTTCGTTCTAGGTTATTTTTTGTTGAAGTATACTTACGTCCTTATCACCCAGCCGCTCCACGCGGCAGTGTAGGAAGCCGGTTTGGCCGACGGTTACGGTCAAGTTGCGCGGCACGTCAAAGTCGAAGTAGGGCAGCAGATTCGAGGGCGAGATGGTCGTGGTGGTGGTCGTGGGCGGCGTGGGGGCAATCGCAGCGCTGTAGCCTGGAAGAAGAGCAGATCGAGAGGGTGGGGGATGTAGCATACATTGCGGCATAAAAGCTTGTGCCAAATGGAAATTTATTTCCATTTTCATTCGCACATACGTACGGGAAAACGTATTGTATTGTTGGTTTTAGCGGAGCATTCAAATGCCCCGACCCCAAAAGGCCAAAGGCCTGGCCACAACTTTCGGTGGCATCCAAAGCCCTAACTGAAACTGAAAAGTAATAAAATTCGCATAAAATCTCGGCTCAAAAAACACACAAAAACAGAAAACCAACAAACGGATGTAGCGGGGGATAAGTGGGGGGCGGTGGCATATATGTGTATGTACATATGTGCGAGTATATAGCACAAAAAATCCTCAACAAACAATTATATTTCGGTTTTTATTTCTTTTGGCATTTGTTTGATGGAAGCGGGACTGGTACTTAAGTGCTGGGTTTTCACTGGAAAAAACTTGAAAATAGATCAATTTCTTTGCTTAACCATGCAAATAGATGTCTTGTGTACCAATGCGTGCTTCCAGAAAAAGCACACTAAAATATAAGAATTTAAAGTCCACTTGTGGACTGTGTGTGGAATTATTACAAAGGACAGCTATCTAAAATTGTTGGAAGAGTTCCGAGATCTTTCTGAGATGAACACCTTTTGCCGATCGGTTATTCACATATTAATATGAACAGTCATACATATTTTATTCTGCGGGAACAACAGCGAAGGGCTAATTATGACAGCAAAGAGGTTTTCCGGCTATCAACGCCCTTTGGGAAAGTTTATGGCCGATAAAAGTTGTCCATGCAGGGCCAAAAAGTTGGCTGCAGCAGTCAGTAAAAGCCAAGTAAGATAACGGCCAAGGAGCAGATGAAACGGGGCGGAATAAGTTCATCAATACAATACAAAGGGGCAGACGGGGCTCAGGGCTGATAGTAGGGTATAACTTTGCTCACATCAAAGCTACGAACAAAGCTACGTAGATCGCATGCAGCCAACTGGAATAGGAGTAATTGAATGAGGCGATACGAGACGAGACGAGTTTCGAGTTCCTGCTGCCGTCAGTTTATCGAACTCCAAGCTAAGCTCCGACTGGCAGTAAGGAATCAAACGGTCCCCCGCCAGCCAGCGCCTGCCGAAGGAGAAAAACTGCTGTTGCACATTTCCGTTTCCGCACGCGCCAAAAAGAAGTGAAAACTTTTCCCGGGACACACGCACAACGCACATGCACACAAAGGCAGCTGGAAAACATACACAAACTTTTTCCACATGCGTAGAAACGTGAAAACATGAATCGACGCCACCACAGCAGGCGGCATTGGTGGTTGGGCCACAATGGGGGCGAGGGTGGTGTGTGGTGGATGGTTTTGGCACTGGCACTGGTGGTGCTGAAGACATGACAAATTCTGCGATTTACTTTTCTTTTTTTGTTTGAAAAATTTGAACACAAAGTTAGATTTAATGCGCGCCCGCAACATTTTCGTACGTGCGGCGCTGCGTCTTCTGGCAATATGCTAAACATTTCGGCATAGATAATAATGTAAGAGGAGCATCGGGAAAAAGTTGGCAGCTCCTGACGAATAGGAGCTGCTCTTACCTTGTTTGATCGAAAAAATATTCGTGTGTGGTGTTTTTTATACAGCATTTGCGATATAATTATTAACTGCTGGCTAGAGTTAACACTTCATTTCGTATATCCAAAAATTATCATAGGAAACCCTCAGTATTGCCATATCATTATTTCAATAGTTGCGTGCAAGTCGCAATAGTTTCGTCATTATTATTTCCGTAACCCTTATTCATTACTATCCTAACAGCGGAGCCGTTGATACTCTAGTCCCTACCGCCCATCCGGACTACACAGCCCTCAACACCACCCCTGGACAGATACCCCAATAGGCTATGCTAAATTAGCTTAGCAATGTTGCACGTATGCGTGCGTGGCACATAAGCGGCGTGGAATTGCGTGGGAAACTCACTGAGCGGGAGCCGGGGTGGCGTGAAACAGAACTTAATTTATTGTTTATCAGCGGGCATGCAATTTATGCCTTAAACGGCAAAGATTTCGATCCAAAAATGTATCCCCAAACTCGCTGACTCCCGCTCGGGCTGGTCCTGTTTTGTGTGCTGTGTGTGCGGGGGAAGCTTGTGCTAATTTTAAGTTTATGCATGGAAAATTTGCTCATGCTGTGAAAATTAACGATGCGGCTGGCGGAGAATGCCTTCCACAGCAGCCTGTCGATGCCTCCAATTTGCTGTTTGCCTGTTTGCTTGTTTGCCCTGGGCCCACTGTGACATTTGATAACGACAGAGCACTAGAACGGCAGAACAGCAAAACAGCAGCTGGATGCCGTCAGATGCTGGGCTGGGCTCTGGGCGGCCGCTTAATCAAAAGTGTTCAACACGCCTGCGAACGCGAACCGACATGATGCATGGGCAAACGCCGCCCCGCCTCGCCTCGCCGCAGCCTCGTCGGCGGTCGAAGGACCAAAAATATTTGTCGACTTTTCAACCCGAAAATTAGCTAATGTGGTGGAAAATGTTGCGGTTCTGGGGAGGCGGGCATATGAATATTTATGGAGGTAATCCACGTCGAACGGCCTCAACTCAAATTTCCTCAAAAACGAATGACTGACTGTTGAGCCGATGGGCATATTAATTGAGCGTGAAATGCAGTCGAAGGTGAATATTTGTTCGCTGGTTAATCTCTATTGAGTCTCCACTCAAAGCATATTTACTGAAGCCAAGTGGAATGTCGAAACCCCTTTGGATTGTTCATGATCCCTTGCACTTAAGGTTAAGTTGCACTGACATCGCACTGAGGCATTGAGTGGCAAAGTGGCAGTCGACGGTGCATTCAGCAGGGGCTTCCTTCGTCCTGCTTGACTTGGCACAAAACTGTCTAGACGACAGTGGAGGGGAGGGCTGCAGAGAAAGAGAGTGATGGAGCCAGAGCCAGCTTGAGCTTCCTTAAATATATGCTGAACTATCGATTTTGCTCGAAAGTGTTTCCGTTTTGGCGTTAAGCGGGTCGTTTAGTGGCAACCAGCTATAAATATTTGTATAGCGAATTGCTCTCGCAACGTTGCGTGCTCTTCATGCAAGGGAAAATTCAATCTAAATCAAAATTCGACATGATAATTTTAAGCAAATCCCAAATTAGCAAATGCACGTGACTATATCGCCATAATACCGCCAAACATATATCTCCCATAATAAGCAGCCTTAAACAATCAACTCTTGAATGAATCCAAGCCGTGAGATCGGTGTTTTCCATAGTTTTTGCCATCCATTCCCACATCTGTGCAATCAGCAAAGTTATATTTGAATATGCTCAACGTAGTCAGAACTGGAGCCAAATGGGAAAAAGCTGATTTGGCTTACACTTGTGTCCTTTTTTTTGGGGGTTTTTTATGTCAGTTGAGTAAGCCACAAAGCAAACTTCCCTTCTCTATGGTCTGGGTTGGGGGAACGTTTCTTTTCGAGCGTCGCCATTTTTATGGGCAACGATGTCTGCCTTGCGCTGCCCTGCCCTGCTCCATCACTCAGTTGGCATTATTAGTGGAACATTTGGAATTTATGATTATTTTTTTCTGTTGGAGTCTGGCTGTAATGTGCCCTCCATGAATGCTTAAATACAAATACGCATACAAATCGGGCGAAACTATTAAAACTAGGCTGCCATGACTCACAATGAGGCGACAACTTGGGCAATCAAATGCCTTAAGCTGCGAATCTTGACATCCCAGAAGCTGTCGCTAGACAACGCCTCAGCGATGTCGCATTGCCATGAGCATAAAAACCCATGAAAATGTTGCAAAGATGAACTCCCTCATTTCAAAACCGCCCACCGCTTACATTTGCATGCGCCTCACATGTCACGCAGCTGGAAAAATCCCGAATAAAAATCGACAAAAAAAATGAACCAAAATCGGAAATGAAATCAGATAAATGCTACAAGTGACGGATGCGTCTCGTAAACGGTTCGACGAGATCGTTCACAGATGGAAAGTAAAACTCAGAAATTATCTGAAATCGGTTTAAGCTACGCTCACGCTCGTGCACAATCAGAGGTGAGAGAAAGGGCTGCCACCCGCAGAGGTGATATCAGTAAGGAGATGCGGTGCTCGTATATCTATAGCTCCTTGAGCGTACCACATGCTGGAGGTTCGAGTGTGTTGACACTGCCACCAGCACAAGCCACAAGCACACACACACAATCATTGTCTAGTGGCACAGCTGCTGACGTTGGCAAGTTCCCACATCGGGGCGTCAATTCAGCTGAACTCAGCAGAAGCCTCAGCAGCACCAGAAGGTCCTCTGTGCGGGCCACACAAAGTGTGCTTTACTTAAATACAGACATTAATCGGAAAACAGAATCTTCTTTTCTAGCTGTTGGCATCCCACACGTTGGGCGTGCTTCATCATCGAAATCGATTGGACCTCGCTCTCGTCCTCCCGATGATTCTGCTGCAATTGTGAAAACAATTTCAGCTGCTTTATTGTTTGTAAATGCAATCCTATATTGGTTAAGCCACAAATAAAAGTCTTTTTCTGTCTCTACCGCTCGCTTTTTCTTTTCGAAAAATTGATTACACTTAATGGCGCAGATGAAACTGTAAAGCACCGACCACACGGCGCGTATGTGTAATGTTCGAGCAATTATCATTGGCATATTGCAGGCCATTCGCCAGCATTTGGCCTGTGGCCATATTTCACTTCCCCCATCTCTCTCTCTCTCTCTCGCTCTCTCCCCCTTTCTCTTTCCCGCTCTCTCTCCCTTTCTCTCCCTCTCTATATACAGGAGCTGTAACAGCAGAACGAAGCAAGAGTCCTGCGCTGGCAATTTTCTATTAAGTTTGCCTCCGTTCTGTCGATGTGAGCCCTCTCAGACACTGTGCGCACTTAGGCGCGACAATTAATTTATGGCCTAGACGTCCTGCCAACCCATAAATTATGGCCGCGAATGCCAATGAGAATGCGGGAATGCGAATGGAGAACAAGGCGTA